CTAGAAAAAATGCTGCAGGTACCGAGATTGCAGGAGAAATGATGTCCCCCTGTGGCAAAGACGGTCTACCAACTGTGGTTGATATGAATGGAGCAAGTATAAACAGAGAGGGACAAATAGGGACTCACTATGGTAAGGATGGCCAGACACTTCATGCTCGTGGTCATTTAGGTCAGGCAGGAAGGTCTGGCTTGCTGTATGGCCCAGGTGGTCTTACAGCTGGAGATGGGGCTGTATCTGGAGAAGGTGGAACTTCTATAAGGGAAACAGAGGCTTTATATGGTCCAGACAGTCAGCCAGTTGCCGAAGGTGTTGGTGGTGCTGGTGTAACTGGCCCAGGAGGATTTGGGTCTCCCTATGGAAAGGATGGTCTTCCAGCAGGGGCTGGTCTTGGTGGTGAGCTGGATCTCCCTATGCAAAGGATGTTTTCCCAGCAGGGGCTGGTCTTGGTGTTGCTGGAGTAGGGGCAGCTGGATCTCCCTACGGAAAGGATGGTCTTCCATCTGGAGCAGGCTTTGGAGGTACTGGTGCAGGGGGAGTTGGATCTCTGTATGGAAAGGGTGGTCTCCCAGATGGTGTTGGTCTTGGTGGTACTAGTGTAGGCGGAGTTGGATCCCCATATGGAAAGGATGGTCTTCCATCGGGGGCTGGTCTCGGTGGTGCTGGTGGAGGGGCAGCTGGATCTCCCTATGGAAAGGATGGTTGTCCATCTGGAGCAGGCTTTGGTGGTGCTGGTGCAGGCGGACTTGGATCTCCGTATGGAAAGGGTGGTCTCCCAGATGATGCTGGTCTTGGTGGTGCTGGCAGGTGCTGGCATAGGGGCAGCTGGATCTCCATATGGAAAGGATGGTCTTTTAGCTGGGCATGGTCTTGGAGGTGCAGGGGCAGGGGGAGCTGAATCTCCGTATGGAAAGGGTGGTTTTCCAGCAGGGGCTAGTGTTGGTGGTGGTGTTGTAGGGGGAGCTGGATCTCCATATGGAAAGGATGGTCTTCCATCTGGAGCACGCTTTGGAGGTGCTGGTGCAGGGGGAGATGGAACTCCATATGGAAAGGGCGGCAGGGGCTAGTGTTGGTGGTGGTGTTGTAGGGGGAGCTGGATCTCCATATGGAAAGGATGGTCTTTTAGCTGGGCATGGTCTTGGAGGTGCAGGGGCAGGGGGAGCTGGATCTCCGTATGGAAAGGGTGGTTTTCCAGCAGGGGCTAGTGTTGGTGGTGGTGTTGTAGGGGGAGCTGGATCTCCATATGGAAAGGATGGTCTTCCATCTGGAGCACGCTTTGGAGGTGCTGGTGCAGGGGGAGATGGAACTCCATATGGAAAGGGCGGTCTCCCAGATGGCACTGGTGTTGGTGATGCTGGTGTAGGGGCAGGGCTAGTGTTGGTGGTGGTGTTGTAGGGGGAGCTGGATCTCCATATGGAAAGGATGGTCTTTTAGCTGGGCATGGTCTTGGAGGTGCAGGGGCAGGGGGAGCTGGATCTCCGTATGGAAAGGGTGGTTTTCCAGCAGGGGCTAGTGTTGGTGGTGGTGTTGTAGGGGGAGCTGGATCTCCATATGGAAAGGATGGTCTTTTAGCTGGGCATGGTCTTGGAGGTGCAGGGGCAGGGGGAGCTGGATCTCCGTATGGAAAGGGTGGTTTTCCAGCAGGGGCTAGTGTTGGTGGTGGTGTTGTAGGGGGAGCTGGATCTCCATATGGAAAGGATGGTCTTTTAGCTGGGCATGGTCTTGGAGGTGCAGGGGCAGGGGGAGCTGGATCTCCGTATGGAAAGGGTGGTTTTCCAGCAGGGGCTAGTGTTGGTGGTGGTGTTGTAGGGGGAGCTGGATCTCCATATGGAAAGGATGGTCTTTTAGCTGGGCATGGTCTTGGAGGTGCAGGGGCAGGGGGAGCTGGATCTCCGTATGGAAAGGGTGGTTTTCCAGCAGGGGCTAGTGTTGGTGGTGGTGTTGTAGGGGGAGCTGGATCTCCATATGGAAAGGATGGTCTTTTAGCTGGGCATGGTCTTGGAGGTGCAGGGGCAGGGGGAGCTGGATCTCCGTATGGAAAGGGTGGTTTTCCAGCAGGGGCTAGTGTTGGTGGTGGTGTTGTAGGGGGAGCTGGATCTCCATATGGAAAGGATGGTCTTTTAGCTGGGCATGGTCTTGGAGGTGCAGGGGCAGGGGGAGCTGGATCTCCGTATGGAAAGGGTGGTTTTCCAGCAGGGGCTAGTGTTGGTGGTGGTGTTGTAGGGGGAGCTGGATCTCCATATGGAAAGGATGGTCTTTTAGCTGGGCATGGTCTTGGAGGTGCAGGGGCAGGGGGAGCTGGATCTCCGTATGGAAAGGGTGGTTTTCCAGCAGGGGCTAGTGTTGGTGGTGGTGTTGTAGGGGGAGCTGGATCTCCATATGGAAAGGATGGTCTTTTAGCTGGGCATGGTCTTGGAGGTGCAGGGGCAGGGGGAGCTGGATCTCCGTATGGAAAGGGTGGTTTTCCAGCAGGGGCTAGTGTTGGTGGTGGTGTTGTAGGGGGAGCTGGATCTCCATATGGAAAGGATGGTCTTTTAGCTGGGCATGGTCTTGGAGGTGCAGGGGCAGGGGGAGCTGGATCTCCGTATGGAAAGGGTGGTTTTCCAGCAGGGGCTAGTGTTGGTGGTGGTGTTGTAGGGGGAGCTGGATCTCCATATGGAAAGGATGGTCTTTTAGCTGGGCATGGTCTTGGAGGTGCAGGGGCAGGGGGAGCTGGATCTCCGTATGGAAAGGGTGGTTTTCCAGCAGGGGCTAGTGTTGGTGGTGGTGTTGTAGGGGGAGCTGGATCTCCATATGGAAAGGATGGTCTTTTAGCTGGGCATGGTCTTGGAGGTGCAGGGGCAGGGGGAGCTGGATCTCCGTATGGAAAGGGTGGTTTTCCAGCAGGGGCTAGTGTTGGTGGTGGTGTTGTAGGGGGAGCTGGATCTCCATATGGAAAGGATGGTCTTTTAGCTGGGCATGGTC